GCTTCCCTCTAACAGCACTGCATATTAGACAAGAAGCCTTCTGGGTTTGGGAGGTATCAAGTCACTAAAGGAGGCTTACCTGAAATTATTATTCCAAAATATTCCTCATTTGGCATCTAAGGAGATTTTTACACTTGGGTCATACACCATAATAAAATGTAGGAACTATGAGGGATCTGCATCACTCCCCCTCCTTTTTTTGTTAGGGTAGTTTTAGAAGAGTTCATTTGAAGCTGAGGACCTAGAAATTTATTCATCTAAAACTATATGTGTAGGTGTATCCCTTGGAAGAGTTGGTCCCTGATTCTCCCAGTTTGAAAACCACTGCTCTAGAGGATACAGTTCTAATTCAGCAAAACACTCAAGGCCCTTTGTGATCTAATTCCTATTAACTTCTCTCTTCCTATTTAGAGGGATGGCTCCCTCTAAATCCAGCTCAGGTCTGCCAAACTGTTTCCAGTTCTCTTTTCAGGCCTTGCTGCATCTTTTCTAAGGCCATTATTATCTGGAATGTCCTCCCACCTCTTTATTCCCAGAAAACACTTGACAATTTTTCCAAGACTGAGTTCAATTCAATCAATAAGTAGCTGGTAACTTTCTGGAAACCAAGGGGGTGCTTTTAATACAAACAGTCTCTCCTACTTACTACAAAGAATGGAAGGATGGGATGGAACACTATCCCAAAGGGTCCCGCAGATGCTTGTTGATTGGCTAAATCAACATGTGCTGAAGTTGAGGACGATGTGATCTGGACTATCTGAGAAAGCAGGGATGATTCCATAAAGGAAGGATTAAAAGATTTCCCAGATCCAAAATGGGAATGTGAGGAGGAATGTCAGGAGGAATAGGGATAATGTAGTTTTCCAAGTAAGTCCGGGTTAAGTACCTCTTTTCTAGTCTATCAGAGCACAAACTACAGGATGGCAAATGCTTGTTTACTTGATTAAAATTTCCCCTAAACTGTAAACTCCATGAAAACATGCTTGTCTTATCGCCACTGTATCCCCTTAACGCCTTCCATAGTACCCTGGCCTTTTAAATATCTGCCGATATTTATTAAAAGTCCTTTAGTGAATGATTAAATGAAGGAATGGACGGATGGGTACATGAACAGTTAAATTCCACAGGATCTAAGATCCTGTTTGAAAGTATTTCTCTATAGATACTTCGGGTGGGGAAGTGAAAAAGTAGGTATCCATGCTAAATTCGTCTCTGAAGCCAGGGAGGAGCTTGGGCTCACAGCCCGGCGACAATTTAAACCGCAGCACGGCGGGTCAGAGGAAGCATGGAGGCCAGGGCGAGAGGATGCTGCAGGGCTCGGGCACCGAGAGGCGAAGCCGACTAAGTTCACCGGGCGTGACCGAAGGGGAAAAGGGTTCCAAGAAGGCCGAAGTCTCGGCCGGGGGGAGGCCGTGGCCCGCTAGCCCCCCGAGGGACGGAGAGGTGGCGGGCCGGAAGCGGGGCTGGGGGAGGAGTGGCCGGGCGGCTGAGGACCCGCGCGAAAGGACCGGAGCAGAGGGAGGGGCGAACGCGTCGGGCCGGCGGAGGGCCCTGGGTCGGTTCCGGGGATCCGCAGCCACACTCACCTAGGGGACCCAGCTTCGCCCCGGCTCGGCGCCGGCGCCGCGCGGCTTCCTCCCTCGGCCTGCTGGGCGAGCGGGCGACCTCAGGTGCCCCTAGCAACCACGCACCGCCACGCGCCCCGCGCGCTCAGCCACAGTCACCGCTGCCGCCTGCCACTCACTGCGCGCGCCCCCAGCCGACAGCTCAGGGCCTGGAAGGGGTGGGAGGGACGGGAGAGAGGTAAGGGCGCGGAATCTCAGGGGTTATGGGGCCTGGGAGGGCGGGCCGTCACCTGCGTCGCGCACGCGCAGTCCCTTCCGTACGGTGGAACCCGCGAGCGGAATTCTGGGAGACGTAGTAGTCCTGAGATTAAAGCCCTGAAAGGCTCCATTCTGGGAATCCAGGACTCTCCTTTCCTACCCTGGTTTCACCTAACCTCTGTGGACTCTTTTTTTAGCCGTGCGTCAGTTCGCTGTTCTGAAATCAGAGGGCCTAAGCTCTATTAAAGAGTTTCCAATAAAAGCCTCTGAGTTTGACCCCTGGAAAGTGGAGAGCGCCCTGATCCATTAACAACTCTAACCCCAGCCCACCCCGCAGGACTAAATTACAACTGCTTGCTTTAAGGGCTTCAAATGTGAACTTTAGGAAATGCTAGCTCAATTATTTATATCATTATTTCCCCAGGCAAGACAGATAGTGCTTTTGTCTCAAATGTCCCTGGATTTGGAAATCTAAAGGGAGCTGGAGGGTGAAAGGATCTTTTCTAAACAATTGGCTACAGAAATAAAGGAAGAGGAGATGAAACTAATATGATGAAAGCAATCTGGACTAAAGCAAGCATCTCAGTAAATTGATTTAGGCAACAGTCGTTGATGGATGCTAAAACAACTAGAGGACTGATGGGGAAATTTTACACGGGAAGGATGTGTCATCACCCATATGTACTAATCAATCTTAGATCATGAAACAGGACAGCTAAGCATTGTGTCTCTTGATGTGATACAATTTGAATTACAAAATATTTATGAAGTATAGTGTATTTTGCAAAAAAAAATTTTTAAGTGAATTTAATCAAGTTTTGGCTGCAACTTCCAGTTTACAGGAAATAAAGAGAAACAATTGAATAACACTATAAGAAAGCAATCAGACAAATCCAGAATGTGGGCCAATGTACAGCAAGAACAATCTTCAACAATTTCAGGGTATAAAAATGGGGAAAGATGTTGTAGATTATAAGAGATTCAAGAGATAATCAAATGCAATAAGCACATCATTTTTTTTCTTCTTTTTTTTTGAGACAGTCTCACTCTGTTGCCCAGGCTACAGTGCCGTGGCCTCAGCCTAGCTCACAGCAACCTCAAACTCCTGGGCTCAAGCAATCCTTCTACCTCAGCTGGGACTACAGGCATGCGCCACCATGCCGGCTAATTCTTTTATATATATTTATGTATATATTTTTTTAGTTGTCCAACTAATTTCTATTTTTTTAGTAGAGACAGGGTCTCACTCTTGCTCAGGCTGGTGCAATCTTTTTTGGATCCTGATTGAAACTGTAAAAAGATCTATGGAGAAATCTGAATTGGGGACATTTAGAACATAGACAATGTCAAGAAATCATTATTAATTTTGTTAGCTATTATAGGGAGCTGAATGGTGCCCCCCAAAAGATTTATCCATGCCCTAATTCCAGGAACCTGTAAATATTACCTCATATGGCTGAAGAAATTCAGGAAATGCCATCCCAAAATATGACACTTTAGTATGGTGATTACTTTGGACTGCAGACACCTGGGAAATGTTAGATACAGGCCAGGATTTTCTCTGAGCTCCTCTTATCTGCCTAAAGATGGATCCTCCAAACTCAATTGTCATTGTCATGAATCTCCTCCCAGAGAATCTTATCAACCAGGGAAAATTAACTCAGATCACAGGCAACTCGAGGTTGATACCATGCCCAATCACCTATTCTCCTGAGGGCTGCTCTGAGATAACTTTTATTTCCCAGAGATTTTTTTTTTTTTTTTTTGAGACAGGGTTTTGGTCTGTCACCAGACTGGAATACAGGGGCCTGCAACCTCAAACTCCTGGGCTCAAGCGATCCTCCCACCTCAGCCTCCTAGAGTGCTGGGATTATAAGTATAAGCCACTGTGCCCCTAAGAGGCCCCTGAGAGGGGGCATAGTGGCTTACATCTTCAAAATATATTCAAAATCTGACTACTTTTTACCACTTCACTGCAGTCCTCATTCAGGATACCACCATCTCCTGGACAGATTATTACAAGACCCTCCTAACTGCTTGCCCTGCTTCCCACTCCCCACAGTCCATTTGCAAGAGCAGAATGAAGAGTGATCCTTTTAGAATGTAAGGTAGGTCACATCACTTCTCTGTTTAAAACCCTTCAATAGGTGCCTACTCCATTCAAAGTAAAACCCCAAGTCTTCACCAAGATTGACAAAGCCTACAACGCCCCCCACCCCCCATTACCTTTCTTTCCTTGCTCAGTCCAAACAGACTTCCACAGCTCCTCAGGCATACCAAGCATGCTTCTACCTCAGGGCCTTTGAAGTGATCAACCTCTGCCTAGGCTTTTCCCTCAGATGGCTGCACTGCTCACTCCCTCACCTCCTTCGAGTTTTTGCTCAAATGTCACCTTCTAGTAAGGCCTACCCTCACCATACAACTCAGCACTCCTCATCCCCCTTTCTCTGTTTTATTTTTCCCCAGAGCTTTTATCACTGTCCTACATATTGCATATAATTTACTGTTTAAGTTTACTATCTCCCCTATTAGAATGGAAACTCTATGACAGATAAGCACTGTTTTAATTCCAGTGCCTAGAATAGTAGGCACATGGAAAGGACTCAATAAATATATGTTGAATTGAACTGAAATAATCTAGATAGGAGTAAATTATGGTAGTTCCTACAAAAGCATTTTTGCTAAAGTGTAAACAGAGTGGCAATGAAGATGACGACTAAATAAAATTCCTTATAAAAATAAGGGCATCTGATCTTTCATTTTTAAAACAATTGGAATTTAAAGAAGGGTAGAAAGGAATCTCTTCCTTTTATGCATGGAGAAATCAAGGCCCTGGAAGCTTGTCATAAGCCATACATGAGCCAAGTTTAAGCTTTCCAATGTTTCCAGTTAGATTACAATTCTAATGGGTCTGCCTAACACCCCTTTCTGGTAAATTGTAAAATCTCCATAAATAACTGCCCTTCTAAACCAGCTGGGATTCCCTATACATTAAAACTCTACTATATATTAAAGCTAGTCACTAGGCCTCAGATGTCAAGGCAACTACATTTATCTGTTTAATCCTACCCTTTCCTATTTCAGCTCCACTGGCCTTGGGTAACCACATGTAGTTCATTTAAGATGGAGGAAGCTGGAAGGCAGGAAAACATATAAATAAGCCCCCAAACCAGGATATTGTATTAACAGGACACCAGTACTTCCAGCACCACACAAAAGCTAAAAGAGGGGCTGGGCCTCCCAACCCCTTGTCCTGGGAGCTTCAAGTATGGTGAGGCATAATTTTTATTAAAAGAGTTTACAAACAGAACTACCAAAAAAAAAAAAAAAAAAAAAAAGAATATACTCCCCACCCCCACTCATGGATAAGAATGTTGGCTAAGGCTGGAGAACCCCTCAGTAACAGGGACTGATGACATTTATCCCCAAATCCTAGAGCTGAGAAAGGCTCTGTTTTCATCACTGTCCTGTGGTCAGCACTCCTAAAGCAGAAACCTGCTGGGAGGATTAAAGGAGCTCCAGAAAGGAAGAGATCTCTCAGGGAGAGGTTTTTCCCTAAGGTTGGGAGGCAGGTTCCTGGGTCAAAGGCACATTATTGGAGAAAAGACCCCTGGATATAGAAAAGGAAGGAATCTTCTCTGGCACCAACAGTAATGAAGTTTACTGGTTGAAATCATCCTGAATCTGGGAAAAGGAAGGAGCGTTATGTATAAATCTCTTCTACTTTCTCGATCTTAGTTGAGTTGGCAGTTTTTCTCTCTTTTTTAGTCTCTTTAGCTCTCAGTCAGGTTGGTAGCTTCTGTGGTAGAATAAGGAAGTGTTGGCAATAGTGGGGCAATGAAGGTTGAAGGCTGGACCCCAGGAATCTGGGATCATGTGCTATGGGTTGGCCTCAGGAGGTGAATGAGTTTCCTGCAGTGTTTGGCAGAGGCAGGCCTGGGGCTGCTGTGTGGCAGTAACTGATTCCCCACAGACAGCAAGGCTAATTTCTCACTGGCACCCAGAGACACCAGCACCTGTAGGATAGAGACCAGATGATAGAACAAACATGAGGCTCAGAGAAATGGTGATATCTGGGGCTGGTACAGAGGACTCTCATTGAAGCCTAGCAAGTCTCACTCCAGGAAAAAAGGATATGGTCTCTTGGGGACACAGAATAGACTGAATGGGAGAAGAGAAAGCTTAGAGACAGGAATCATCAGGACCAGAGGTTTACTTCCATTCTCTTTGGTTAGAAACTATAAAACCAAGACACCAAAAGACTCATAACTTGTCCCCAAGAAGAGGTAATTAATGCCCCCATGATTGACAGTGAGGGGCAAGGGGGAGGACGTTAAATGGAAAATTCATCTGCAAGACAATGTCCCTGAGTTTCCTACACCCAGGGAGGAACACAGGCTGGGTTTCTGGATGTCCCAGTTCCTTACAGACTACCTCAGAGAAATGCTGTGATCATCATGGTTCATAAGCCCCCTGGGGTATACCTGATGGATGCAGGGCTCCTGTTGGAGGCTCCGGAGGGCAATGAGGGCAGCCTCCTTCACGTTTGGCTGGGGGTCTCCACACGCCATCTCTAAGAGCCGCTGGGGTACTTGGCACTGTAACAGTTCCTCCCCTAATCCTTCAGGTCCCAAGTTGCCCAGAGCTGATGCAGCATTGCGCCGGATACCAGCCTGAGGATCTCCAAGCAGCTGGGTCATACTGGGCACTGCAGCTGTGAGAGCAGGTCCCAGAGGACCAGCCTGGTAGGCTGCATTGCCCACAGCAAAGCTGGCACTGCGCCGCACAACAGGATCCTTGTCTCCAAGCCCCAGCAGCAGAAGGTTGAGCAGTCCAGACTGGCTCTGCAGTGCCCCACGCAGGGCCATGCTGTGTTGGAGCAAGTGTCCCAGGAGCCCATATATGCGGGCCCGCACGGAATTCTCTGGGTGGCCCAGGAGGCTGCGAAGGGGCCGATAGGATTCATCCGAGCCAGCCAGGAGCTCCTGGATAAAGGACAAGTGGCTGGGAGACAGTACCCGGGCTGTGTGGGCCAGCAAGGAGAGAAGGTCAGAGGTCAGCATTGGCTGGTCACTCAGGAGGGCAACTGAGAGAAACGAGATGATAGATCTAGGGGAGGCAACCACTGTGTTCACAAACTGCTTGAGAGAGGTGGGATCCATGAGGGCCAGGTGTGCAAGGAGGCTGATGGGCAGTTCGACTTGTGGCAATGGAAGGTGGTAGCAGCAGACCTGGGAGAATGGGGGTGGCAGGTAAAAGGAGTCAGGGAGAGGGAGAGTACACTGCAGCTAGGTAGATGCAGCCCAAAAGCTGGGAGACAGAAAAGCCCAGCTACGGTGAGAAATGTCACAGAGAGCTGGAAGTCCCGCCCCACAGCACTATGCATGAGACACAATGTGGAGCCTGAAACAGCAGGTTCTTTCCAAATTCTTTCCTTGCTCTGCAAAGGCTCAGTCTCTCTACAAAGACTCACTACATAATGCCAAGAATTGCCAGAAATCTGATTCTTAGCCAAGGAACTCAGTCTCTAGTGTCTAGACTAGGATATTCTTCCCACTGAGCTCCAACAGAACATGGTGAGGAACTGACAGAGAGAAGGAGGCACCAACTCAGCTCCAAAAACACGCCTCTATTCAGGCCTGAGTACTGTCTCTACTCTAACTCTTAGGTCAAGCCAGATGCTCCACTCTTACAGGGGCCTGGAGCCATGAGGAAGTGAATTAGAGGACACAATGTTGGCTATCTTCCTCTCCCACCTCCCAACTTTGTGCCCGGGTAGCTTCTAAGTACCTGCAGCAGGTGGGCTGTGACTTCTGAGTCTCTAAGGTCAGCCAAGATACCCGCAAGGAGGTCAGCATCCACATCCAGGGCAAAGGGGAAACAGAGGAGCTGACAGACAGACAGCACCACAACAGGGAGAAACTCAGACCCGTGAGGCCTAAGAAGGGGGGTGTAGAAGAAGAGACTTGGTTTCACTCAGTTGCCCTTTATAATTCTTCTCTCCCTTTTATCAAGTTTCCTTCCCTGGTTCCCTTCTCCAATCTCAGTGACTCCTTAAGATTCTAGCTTAGTCCTTATCCCATTTCTTGCCTCATAGCTCAATCTGTCAGTGACTTCTCTCCTGCCTTCTCCTCCCGCCCTCCCTCCTCATTGCCAGCTCTCTGGATCTTCCATTCTCCTTCCTCTAGCTCAAACTCACGCCTGGTCAAGTTGATGCAGGAAGCTAGGGCAAAGCAGATGCTTCAGGATGGACATGAGGATGCTTCCACGCTGGGACAGGTAGCTCAGGCATAACTGGGGCTCCTGGGTGAAGGTGGCCATGGCTAGGCTCAACAGGGCTGCCATACCTGGAAACATGAAGAATGGAGACCCAGTGCGGCAGGCAAGAGGCCTAAATGCCCTTGCTTCCTCATAGCTCCCAGGGCTACCATCTATTCAGCCCCTTCCCCATCCTTAAGCAGCTCCACTGCAGACTTTGCCATGCTCTCTCCAGACAGCAGCAGAAGAAATCTCTGTGGGTTAGCCCAGTTCTAGGGTGCCTCCTCTTGAAGAGCGATCAGTACACTTCCACAAAGGAGGCCATGCTGATCTGACAGAAAGATACCTTGGGGTGAGATCAAAGTCCAATCTGGCTCTGAGCTTGGTGTACTGGAAAGCAATAGCTCCTCTTCCTGTGCAGATACCTCCTTGGGTAGCCTCAAGGCCATGGAGAAGCGGTGCCACAGAATGGTCCACATTTCTGAGTTAGCCACATCCCTGATCAGGTTAGATTTCCCCTGCTGGAGACAAAAGTGAAAGAGGGTGGATGGGGAGGCAGAAGTCAGGAGTTCAAATGCCTTTTTCCATTCCTGTCCCTGACCTATATGGAAGAGAGTCCCAGAAATAATTCCTTCTGTTTTCCCACCTTGTATTTACCTGTTGTCTTATTCCTCTTTCATGTCACACCTTAACCCCCTGAACTTCTCAACACAAGTGTAAGCCTGCTGAAAACCAGAGATTTCTCCCCACTGAATCCCAAGGGATGCAGCTGAAAGGTTTCCTTCAAAGGGCCCATACTGAGGGCAGGTGGGGCAATTATAAGGCTAGTTTGAGTAGTTTGAGAGGAGAGGCAAGTGTGGGTTGCTTCTTTATTCCTATTGTCCGGTGCCTCCCCCAAAATGCCCAGTTGCTCTCTCCATACATCTCATCCATCACAGGATGCAACTGTACCTGGGTGAGGAGCTGCAGCAGAAGGATGAGGAGGCCATCATAGAATCCACAACTACCTGGTGGAGTCAGCCGGACCTGTGCAAGAGAGGCAAGAAGAATGAAGATCCCTGAGAGGGATGGGGTGGCCTCTACACTAAGGCAGGTCAGTGATGGTGCCATGGAGGGAATAGATTTGACAGTCAACTGGAAGGCAGAATATATGGGTATATATTCCTGCAGGTAGCTTCCTGCTACCTGCAGGAAGCATCTGGATGGGGGAATAACAGGGAAGAGTCTCTGATGACTCCCAGAGTTCTGACTTAGCACTAACATTCATCCAGGAGCCTATCACTAGTGATACAACCTCTCTGAAGGTTAACTTCGTCTGGAAAAAGCAGATAAGAATTATTACATTTGATGTGTCTATCTTTCAAATGCACTGTGGGATAACTTGTGTGACAAGTGCTTTATAAGCTACAAAGAATTCTTCATATATAAGAGGTGACAATTTAATTATGAAGTCTACCCTTCTTTTTATAAAATGAGGGAAATATAAGTTTCAAAAGATCTAAAAAGGAAAGGGGGCAAAGGTCTAGAGACAGAGAAAGCAGAAAGGAAGCTACATAATGGACTGAGTTCCTGAAGAATTCACAGGATGTCAGCCACCTTTTCCATCTCAGTTAAGGAGAGTAGAAACTGCAGTTGAGGGGAAGAAACCACACATTAGGAAGGACTTTGACAACCACAGCATGAGCCTCTGGAGGAGGGGGCTGCAGTAGGCAGGGGCATCTTATTCCTCAGAAAACTTAGATGGGCTCCCTTCCTCCTTTCTTCCCCTCCTCCCTCTCCAGAAATCTGAAGCCCTGACCAGTCTGGGCTCAAGGGACCGATTATCTGGGGTGGAAGCCTAGGAAAGGACGGACTTCCTTTTCCATTCCTCAGTTTACTCTGGGCTTACTGGCATTTCAATCTGTTCCCTCTAAATGCAGTTGAGTATCTGACTCAGAGAAAACATGTCTGTGCCTTCCCTGGGAGGCCTCACCTCTGCAGGGGCAGACAAGGCATGTGTGGCCGCAGCAATCCATTCCATGGGCTGGAGCTCAAAGGTCACCCCTTGCTGACCAAGCTGTCCCAAAAGACAGGCAGCTGCATTCTGTGGGAGAGGTAGAGAACAGGAATGTCCAAATCTGAATGGTATTTAGGATAGGCAGAGAGGATTTATGTCTCTGTCCTGGTCAAAAGAATGCCTCCAGAAACAGCTGCAAATGGGACAGTGACTCCTCTGCTCCCAGAAGAGTTGAATGAGAGGGTGAAAAGGGAAGGAAGATGAAGGGTGACAACTTACCACAAGAGAGACGACGTGTGAATGGGTAAAGAGAGTAGCAACTTCACTGCCTAGCTTCTCCATTCTGGAATAAGGAGACACATCAAGGGATGCAGCAGTAATAAAGGAGGTAGGTTAAGTGGCCTTCCCTTTCGCTTAGATGGTGCCCTTCACCTAGGCTGTATGTCCACAAACAAAGCACAAAGTTGATGGGGATCTAGGTCTATTCTTTGTAGAGAAAGCTTCACTCTCTCTGTCCCAATCGCTCCTAAGGATAGCTTGTAGGGTGCTATTCCCCATATTGTGTGTTAGGATTAGCTATGTGGGTAGATTTCAGTGAAGAGAGTCTACTTTATTACTCACCCAGAAGGTAGATCTTGGAGCCGAAAGATAAGAAGGGAGAGGAGATAGAGTGTCACTTCAGCAGACTCTTCCCAGTCCACTACTTTTACCTACAAAGGAAACCTAAGATATCAGAACCATCTCTGGTTGAGATGGTGGGGCCACTGTGAGACACCTACCTGTGTTGCTGGCCTACCTTGCCCTGGACCAACATCAACAGTGACTCCAAGGCGAGGGACTCTTGCCCTAGAAGACAGCACAGGCGCTCACTGACATGGCAGCAGGAATAAAGAACCTAAGGGGGAGGGAAAGAGTCTTTCAGTGAGGCGGAGCAGCCCTGGGGTCTGAAATTGGAAGGCTCAGCTGAAAAGCAGGCCAGCAACAGATTGGGTATCCACACTTGGGAGGGTGAGAGAACTTCTGCCTCTTGCTGTGAGACAGTGAGATAGGAACACGTCTCAGTTCTGGTGAAGGCTGGCTAAGAGTGGGGTCATCTCAGCTGAACAGATTTAAAAGCAGAAAGGAGTCCTACAAGGGGATCTCTTGATCAGTCTCTCTCCGTCTTTCTCCATCTCTTTCTCTCAGTCCCCCTCTCTTGGTCTCTTCTCTCTCAGTCCCTGTGTCTGTCTGTCTGTCTCTGACCTAGGAGTTAAAAATAAAATCTGAGGAGCCAGGAGTTAGAAGCAAGTACCTTGAGAAGGTGTAGGCACAGGATGGGATGCTGCAGGCCAGAGATAAGGGATGGCCTCAGTTGGCTGCTATCTTCAGTCAGCTGATTTGCCAAGTGCCAACAGACCTATGGAGACATACCTGAAACTCAATCCTATCCCATTACAATCTATTCCTCACATATCTCCAATTGATCAGGATTCTCAATCCCTTGTTAGTCACTCTTCCCAGGTTCCTCAGAAGCCTCAGACCCCATTCTAATCCTACCTTCATGCCCAAAGGAGAACCAAAAGTCATGGCCTAGTTTGACCCCAGTATATGCAGAGGTACAGAGGAAAGTGTTACTGGCCAACAGGGAGCAACAAAGCTGAGTCCTGAGGCCTTGAAAAAGCATCACCAGTGACTTCTGATCAGCTGCCCTCCCACCTGGACAGTTTGTTACTGAGCTTTCTCCCCTCCCAGCTGGCCACAGGCTCTGGGATTCTGGCTATTTCATATTCTACAAGTGGCCCAGACCCAGGGTGGGAGCATCTGTTTCTGGAAATGGTGAATAAGGAGAGGCATAAAAGCTTGTTTTTCTGCCTTTCTAGGAAACTGGGACAAGCCTCCCCAACTCCTCTGGCAGTAGGGATGAGAGGAACAAGCAATTGAAGCTCAGACCTGCTCCTTGGCCTCCCAGCAGCCAGGCAGTCCCACAGGAGCAGTGCATATAGCTGCCAGAGCAGAGGAAATGGCTCCAGGTAGATCCTCACTCTGCTCCCGCAGTGGGTGGCTCACTTGTGGGGCTCCTGTGGAGAAAGGCAAAGAATGCTGTGTGAGGTCTGATTGTTTCTCTCAGATCCCCTTCATTATTTCAGGTCATAGTTATTTACTGAGCACCCACTAAATGCCAGGCACTATTCTAGGTGATGATAATAGACAGAGAAGAGCCTGACCTACACAACAATTAAGTCAAGAGAACCTCCCCTCCCCACGCTGGTTACCTGGAGGGGTGTGGAAAGGGAGCTGTGGAACTGTCAAGCCATGAAGAAGCCCATCCAACACAACCCGCTGTGTAGTCAGCAGGCTGGAGTAAAAGGCTTTGGAGATGGCCAGGCTGTTCCCATCCATGGCTTCACACAGGACAGTAAAGCACTAAAAGAAACAAATACAGAGGTAGCATCAGGGCATCAGAAAGCTGACTGGGCTTAGTGTAAAAACCAAGAATATCATGAGAACCTGAGTAAAGAGGATAAAAGCCGAGGACAACAGCTGTCTAATTCTAAGCATTCCTCACACAGATATTACATGATAATTGCCTTCATTCATGCTTCGAGGATAAGAATTTTAGGTGTCAATCCTATTCTCTGATCAGCTGCTCCCTAGATGATGTTTCTCAAAGTTATCTGTGGATCATGAGTGTAATAGTTCCTAGAGATTCCTTGGGTTCCTCCCAACTCAGTCCTGCTAATTCAGAATTTCAAGATGTGGGATAATGATTCCAAACTCCCCATGATACTCATTACAAATGACATAAGAAGTGCTGCCCAATAACATGAGTCACTGCTGGCTGAAATTTAGGTGAGACATTAAAAGCTTCCAGACTTGAAAGGGTGAGGGATATTAAAATAGGAAATCAGAGTAGGAAATTTTCAATGGACTGCTAAGTGAAGACGAGAACGTAGCCCAGATCTGTGTTTCCAATTACCCATTTCATCAATGACCAAGCAATTGTTTACTTCCTTGCATGTATGTCTTTCTCTCTAATTATTTCCTCTGAGATCAGTCACAACTCAGCTATTGTCTCATTCAATCCTCTATTCTCCTGCCCTTCACCTCCAAGGAATAATGACAAGAAATGCATAGTTTACTAGTCCTTAGGACAAACAAGTATGGAAAATACTAGATGATCTACAAGTCTCTTCAAGAAGAAATATTAGTACTTCTATTTGTGGTGGCCTGAAATATGCCAAACTACTTAATGCCTCTGGGCCTTTATATATGTTGCTCTTTCTGTTTGGAATGTCTTCCCTACTTTCCTGCCTCATCCACCTGGCAAACTGCTATGTATTCTTCAAATCCTAGCATAGGTGATTGCCTTCTTCAAGATTTCTTCTATGACCCTTCAAATAGTGTCAACTGCATCTTCTTCAGTGGTGTTCCTGTATTTTATGCAAAGTTATAATGTAATTTTCACTGTTGTCCTTAATCACTTTTCCTCTCCCCTACCAGACTATCCCTAGTCCCTTGAAGACTGGACTTTCTCTTATTCACATGGCATATGGGCGCACAGTGGGAAATTAACAAATATTTGTTGTATAACTTGATCTGACCCTGTATAGTCATAACAAAGGAGAAACATGGAGAATGACAGAAAAGACAGAAATCTGGAAGTGAAATCAGATTACCATAAGGCTGTCCCTCCGCAAAGTCTGTTCATAGTCATCTGGTTGGGCCAGTAATTTCCCCAAGAGGTCCAGAAACAGGCTGGCAGCCTCCTGAAACACCTGTAGGCTGGGAAAAAAACGAGCCCATGGTTTCTTTTCATCTCTCTACTAAAAGCCCAGATACAGTGAATGGGTTAGTTCTGGGTAACATAGGTAGCAGAACCTCTGAAAAGGGATGCATCAGAATGCTCCTCCCTTCTGCCCTGCTAAGCATGTGCACACCACACATACCACACACACATACACAGTCTCAACATTTACATCCTCAAGACCCTTCTTTGACATTTTCTCTAGGTTATTCACATCTTGACCCTTCCATTTAGGATCATGGTGACTGCTGACTCTTGGAATCTGAAAGTCTTAGCACAAAGTTAGAGGTATCTTAGGGTCCTTAAGAAGACCAGCTGGGTTCTGAGGGGTCACTCAGCTAATCCCTAAACCCATGACAAATCATAGCTTCTCACTTGGCCTCTTTCTAGTAGGGAGGGGAATTAATGGGGTAGAAACTGAAGCTAAACTGGCTTAATGGTACAAAAGTGCCTTTTATCCCACCTGTCACCTGTCTGGCTCCTCTCCAGATTGAAGGTGCAGGCAAAGTAGGCCTGAATCACAGCCATCAGGTCCCGTAAGAAGGTTCCATACCAAGATTGCTATCAAGGAAGTGGAGAGAAATAAAAAGGGCAATGTGGAGGATGGAGACAAAGAATAGAAAAAGCAGGAAAAAAGATGCACAGAGATCCAGTCAAGTAGACTAATCAGAAAGGAACAGGGGAAAGAGAAATATAGGCAGAGAAAGAAGATCTAGAGGTAACAAAGTGTCAGCCAATGGGCTGCAAACAGCCTGGAAATATCTGTCTTATTTAGCCTGAAAAGTATTTTGGAGTACAGGAGATTCTATTTTATAAAAAAATAGAATTTTTTAAATAAATTTCTTAAAATCACCCAAGATTAATACTCATTAGCTTTCCAACTGCCTCAGCCTAGGCCCTGTTAAACATTTACTCTGACCCTGGAAGGGTTCTCCATCCTCTCCTCCCAACTGTAGCAGGACACAGCATGGAGAAGTAGAGGTCTGGTCCCAAACACACCGAGTCTCAATTCTAGCTCTTCTACTTATTATCTCTGCAACTATTTAAAAGTTAGTGACTGTGTATGAGTTAGTTAATCTCTGTACATCAATACCCTGCTCTATAAGATCAGGTCAATAAAGCCTACGATCAAATAAATTTAAAGCATAATATTCTAAATATTGGGAATTTATGCAGAAAAATCTGAATTTCTACCTTCTCTCAGAAAACTGGAAGATCTGGCAATACTGGGTCCATATTTCCACATGGCAACAGTGGGCTAGAGCTGAGGAGAGGATGCCTCATTTAGAGGGGGCATGTGATCTCCAGTTTATCATATTCCCACTACTTGTATGGTCACACACATAGCCTGCTTCATTGACTGAGATTATCTGCCTGGCCCAGAAGACACTAGTTTGCAATTGATGAGGTCTACTAATTAGAAAGAGGAGGAAAGAAAGTAAAAGTCGGGCCAAATAGAGATGGCAGTCTGAAGGAGAGAAATACAAGGAAAAGAACCTTCTATCAGTCTTCAGAGGCCCCTGGCATGGTGCTTACCTGCTGGATACTGTTGCTCTCCTGACTGTGCCTGAGTAGACTGAGCAGCAACCCAGGCAGCCCTGCCTCCCGGCAGAAGGAATACAAGGGGACAGAGTCACTGCAGCTGCACAGAAGACTGCTCAGAACCCGGAGAGCAGGGAGGATGTGGGAAGCACCCTCTAGGATGCCTTTCAGGATCTGGGTGACAGGAGAGAAAGAGGCAGCCATTGATATTATTGGAGGTAAAAGAAGGAGAGCCACAGATAACACGTAAGAGTTGGCAAAGCAGATCAAATGTTTGCATTCCTTTCTTTGGGAGTCTAAAACCCAGAGAAGGAGAACAGGGAAACAGGGAAACTATACCAAGGGAGAGAATTATAGATACTCAAGGCACCTGATACAGAACACCAGTGACCAAGATGCAGGGGACCTCCCCCCAGGATCTGTCTGTCATACCCATTGCCATTCCTATTTGCTCTCTCCCTTCTCCAGCCCTTCACCTTAAAAAAGTACACACATGCTTCCAAAAATTAAAAACAATGGACACAAAACAATGTTATTCAACTCTATATAAGGGGTTAACAAACTATGGCCCACAAGCCAAATCCAGCCCAATGCTTATTTGCATATAGCCTGCAAACTAAGGACAGTATTATGTTTTTAAATGGTTTTTCTTCAAAAATAGAATAATATTTACATCAAATATTTTACAGCACGCCACTCACTTTACCTATACTAAATCTTGGTATTTATTTGTTCATTTAATCTTTAATATAACATTGTGAAGTAAACACAATTACTCATTTATAGATGTGGAAACTGAAGCGTCTAGAGAGGTTAAGTAGACAAAGATCTACTTTGTCTAGGTTAGCTAGACAAAGATCTAGCTAATGAGTAGTTCAGCTGGAACTCCAACTCTGGGAGTCATATCTCTAAAGGCAGAGCTTTTCCACATTAAAAGTTATCCAACACTAGGAGGATGATGTGTTAGTGCAAAAAGACAAATGCAAGGTAACAAGGCGATTCAATGAGGGAATGAGTTTTTTCAACACATGGTACTAGGACAACTGTATATCCACATGCAAAAAGATGAACTTTGACCCTTCTCTCACATTATATTAAAAAACTCAACTCAAAATGGGTCGGAGACCTAAATGTAAGAGCTAAAACTAAAAATAATTTTAGAAAAAAACATAAGACATAATCCTTAAGACCTCGGGTTTGGAAAGATTTCTTATATATAACACCAAAAGCATAATACACAAAGGGAAAAAGTGGTTACTGGACTTCATCAAAATTTAAAATCTTTGTGCTTCAAAAGACACTCTTATATAATAAGAATGAAAAGACAAACCATAGACTGGCAGAAAATATTTGTATATCATCTATATGATAAAGGTCTTGTATTGAGAATGAATATAGAGATGAATAAAGAGCTCCAACAACTCTATAAGACAAACTCAATAAAAAATGAGCAAAAGAGGCCAGGCGAGGTGGCTCATGCCTGTAATCCTAGCACTCTGGGAGGCCGAGGCGGGCGGATTGCTCAAGGTCAGGAGATCAAAACCAGCCTGAGTGAGACCCTGTCTCTACCATAAAAATAGAAAGAAATTAATTGGCCAACTAATATATATAATATAAAAATCAGCCGGGCATGGTGGCTCGTGCCTGTAGTCCCAGCTACTCGGGAGGCTGAGGCAGGAGGATCGCTTGAGCCCAGGAGTTTGAGGTTGCTGTGAGCTAGGCTGACGCCACAGCACTCACTCTAGCCTAGGCAAGAAAGTGAGACTCTGTCTCAAAAAAAAAAAAAAAATGAGCAAAAGATTTGAATAGATATTTCACCAAAGAAGATATACAAATGGCTAATATGCACATGAAAAGATGCTCCACATGCATATTAGTGAAATACAAATTAAAACGAGATACTATTTCATGCTTACTAGAATAGCTACAACAAAAAGCCAGACAATAATAAATATTGACAAGGAGGTGGAGAAACAGGGACCCTCACATGTTGCTGGTGGGAATGTAAAATGGTACACCACTTTGGAAAATAGTTCAGTAGTTTCTTAAAATGTTAAATATAAATTTAACCCAGAAATTCCATTCCTAGGTATCTACCCAAGGGAAATGAAAATGTATGTCTATACATAGACTTGCTTGTGAATGGCCATAGCAGCATTATTCATAAAAGCCCAAAACTGGAAACAACCAATGTCCACCAACTGGTGAGTGGATAACCAAAATGTGATATATTCATACAATGCAATACTAATCAGCAATAAAAAGAAATGAAATACTGATACATGTTACATCATGAATAAAGCTCAAAGACATCATGCTAAGTGAAAGATGCCAGTCACAAATGATGATATATTATATAATTCCAATTATATGAAATGTCCAGAAAAGGCAAATCTATGAAATAGAGAGTATATTAGTGGTTACCTAGGACTGAGAATGATGACTGACTATAAATGGGTATCAGGGATCTCACTGGTGTGATGAAAATGTTCTAAAACTGTACTATGGTGATAGTTTCACAACTTGGCAAATTTACTAAAATTAATTGATTGTACATCAAAAATGAATACATTTTATGATACATAAACTATATCTCAATAAAGTTGTTTAAAAAACAGTTAAAGAAAAGAGAGGGAAAGTGACACAAGCAACACAGTTTGCTGAGTTCCCAGGAAGGAAGAAGGTACTGTGTTTCAGAGAAGCAAAGAAAGGCTTTGTAGGAGGAAACACTAACTTTGAATGCTAATTGAGCAAAATATTATCCCTCCAAATAGGATCTTACTCTTCTTACTACTACACCTGTAGTACAAAATATTGTATACTCAATTGTTACATTTACATTTTTAATTTTATCAATACAATTTTTTTGGAAATGTGTTTTCCCTCATTGTATAAGTACTTACATAATATCCTCCATTTTTGCCTCTTTGGCCCAAAATATTTACCATCAGAAAAAGTTTGTTGACTCCTGCTCTATATAGATATTTTTTCCTTCAGCAAGAGAAACCTGAGGCCTGCTCTTCCTATGTTACTAAAGGAGGTGAGCAAACATCCTCAAACTAAGCAGATAGTCTGAAAGAATTAGAAACGGACAAACTTTCCCTTTCTCCTTATGTCAATGTATTTTAATGCTTCGTCTGTGTAAATAATCTCAAATCCCTTCCACAGGGTCCTCCTGTCCGTCACCTGCCCTCCAGATTCATGCAGCTGACTCTGGATGCGCTGGCAGAAGTCAGGATTACACAGCAGGGTGAGAGGGGCCTTCAGTTGAATGGATACAGGCTCGGTGGTCTCTAACAGGTGTTGCCACTCATCATCACTGTCTGGCTCCTGAGGCAGAGGGGGATGAGAAGGGTCAGAAGCCTGTAAATCTAAAGGTAGTAGCTCCCACCCTGGGGTTACAAACCCTGGGAAATCATGAAGTAACGCAAGAATCCATTGAATCATTTAGCACAGATGTATTTTCTCAGGCATCAGTATAACACATTGACTGCCATGTCAGTGGTATTTAACTCAGGCTAGTTTTGTGCCTGGGGCCTCGTGAAGCAAAACCCTGCAGTTGGTTCGTGAAAATCTTAATTTGTTGGTGTTCTTATTGTTACAATTAATATTGACAATTTAATTCTAAAAACCTGGATTGCGTTGCATAACTCACAAACCAGAAACAATAAAAAATAACAAATTAAAAAGGGTCATTTTGTTTTGACAAAACACCAGGGACCCATGGAAAAAATTTTTTTTCTAGTGTGGCATTCTATGTGTTAAAAAGGTATAGGCTGGGCAAGGTGGTTCATGTCTGTAATCCTAGCACTCTGGGAGGCTGAGGTGGGTGGATTACTCGAGGTCAGGAGTTCGAAACCAGCCTGAGCAAGAGCGAGACACCGTCTCTACTATAAATAGAAAGAAATTTATTGGCCAGCTAAAAATATATATAGAAAAAAAACTAACCGGGCATGGTGGCACATGCCTGTAGTCCCAGCTACTTGGAAGGCCAACGCAGTAGGATTGCTTGAGCCCAGAAGTTTGAGGTTGCTGTGAGCTAGGCTGACGCCATGACACTCACTCTAGCCTGGGCAACAAAGTGAGACTCTGTCTCAAAAAAAAAAGGTATATGAAAGGGGTCTTGAAAAGTCTCTTGGAAAGTCTCTGGTATGTATGCATAAAGAGATACCTAGAAAGATGTCCATTGCAACATGGTTTATAACAAGTCTAAAAGGAAACATCATAAAGTCAGTCACTAGGGAAATAAAAAACATGAATACATCCATATTAAAAAACACTACAAGGTTATCAAAAAGATTGTGGTGCTGAGAATTATCATTTATGTAGTATCCCTACCAAAAATGTATAACCCGAATCTAATCATGAGAATATATCAATTTGTAGAACATCCTACAAAATAACTATGTACCTCCAAACTGTCAGTCACAAAAGACAAAGAAAGACTAGGAACTGTTCCAGATCAAAGGAGACTAATGAGGCATAACAACAAAATGCAATGTGTGATACTTGATTGGACTGTGGACCAGGAAAGAAAAAAATTATTTATAAAGGACATTACTGCAGCAATTGGCAAAATTTTAATATGGGCTAAAGGTTATTAATCTATTTACTATAACGGTATTATATCAATGTTAAATTTATGACTATTACAATTGTACTGTGGTAGTGTAAGTGAACAATGCACTAACGTATTTAAGGGTAAAGAGGCATGTTTGCAACTTACCCTAAAATGATTCAGAAAGAAAATATGTCCACATAGAGAGAGAATCATAAAGAAAATGTGACAAAACTTTAACAACTAGTCAATCTGGGTAAAAGGATTGCTATGGTTTCAATGCTTTCGTCCTCTCCAAAACTTGTGTGTTAGAAACTTAATTCCCTATGCAACAGCTGGGAGGTGAGGCCTACTGGGAGGTGGTTAGGTCATCAGGGCTCTGCCCTCATCAGTGGACTGATGTTATAAAAAGGGCTTGTGGGAGTGGGCTCACTCTTCCTCTGCAATGTGAGGACATAGCATTCCTTCCTTCTGAAGGACTCAGCACTCAAGGTGCCATCTTGAAGACAAGGCTCTAACCTGTGGGCACATTGATCTTGGACTTCCCAGTCTCCAGAACTGTAAGAAATAAATTTCTGTTTTTTATAAATTACGCCGTCTCAGGTATTCTGTTATAACAGCACAAAACAGACTAAGGCAAGGGTATACAGGAATTCTTTATGGTATTCTCACAATTATTCTTTAAGTTTGAATTTATTTTAAAATGAAAAGTTAAATCCCTAGAAAAAACCACCAAAAATTGAGGTAGAACTATATGCTCTTATTCTCTAGTGTAGAAAGATCCCTAAAACAGATTATATGGTAAAAGAGGTATGATGCAAATTAATACAGATAGTATGAACTCAGTAATGTAGAAAACAGCTAAACTATATATATTGCTCTGTGTGCATATACATGTATGTGAAAATACAGAAAGTCTGGAAGGGAACACAATAAGTTAATGACTGGTCACCTCTGGGACTAAGGTCAGGCTCAAGAAGGACTTTCATTTTTAACTATGTATTCCAATTTTTTATTTTTTATTTTTTTTTGAGATAGGTCTTGCTCTGTCACTTGGGCTTCTTTCTGCCTCAGCCTTCCAAGTAGCTGGGATTACAGGCACACACAACCACACTGGGCTAATTTTTCTATTTTTTGTAGAGACAGCCTCTCACCCTTCTCAGGCTGGTCTCAAACTCCTGGCCTCAAGCAATCCTCCTGCTTCAGCCTCCCAAAGTGCTAGGATTATAAGCATGAGCCACCGTGCCCAGACCCATTTTTTTAAAATGACATGTTCAGATACTGTGCAATTAAAATCTATAAATTAACAATGCAGCAATTTTTAACATAAAGGGAGCTCATACCTAGAGGGTTAGGAATCATTGTTCTACAAAAATATCTACCTAGACCCGACAACCCATGGCAGGGACAAGGCCAAGAAGAGCCCCTAGGGCTCACCTCGTGTTCTAGGTCCACTGTGTCAATGTTTCGCTGGCTCACCATCTCTGGCCTCAGCTCTGGGAATGCTTGTTCACAATCTGAAGTGATCCGGTTTTCCCTGCCAGAGGAAGCCAGGGAGTAGGATGAGTTCCACACCTGTAAGTCTTAGGGTTCATTAACTTGACCCTCCCTGTAGGACTGGGATAAGAATGAGAAATAAACCATATAGGATTAGATAGAGGAGACTTCTTTCTGGGATATGGAATATGACCAGTACAGGATATGTTGACCACTACACAAGTATCTTTGTCCTTCCACTTTAGGTCTCATAGTCAAGCCTACTTTGCAGTTTTCACCTCTGGCTCTCAACTCAAACAATCTTCCCTTTTGGATAGAAACAATCCTTTCCCTTTCAGTCTATGTACAACTGAGGTATAAAGATGATAAAGTCCCCAGGTTTCCTGATGAATTGAGAAAGTATCTGTAATTAGAATCCAAGAATGCAGGACTCAGACTCCTCGGGCCATATTTAGGCAGTGGCTAGTGACAGGAATCATTTCATATTTGGTTTGAGTAGAGTCAAAGATTTGCCCTACAAATCTCTAGTGATACTGTCCTCACCAAGGTGCAGGGGGGGCCTCTCCAGTCCCCCACTCAGCCCAGCTGCTCTTCATTTCTGAGGCCAAGATCCCAGCCAGGAGGCTTGATTCCTGAGGAGTGGCTCTTAGTCTGGGTAGAGGGCCTATTCCAGGAGCTACCTTGCTGGTCCCATCCTCTTGCTCAAGGGCAGATCCTGTGTTCTGGTGTTTCTGTGGGGTATGGGTAGGAGACACTGATCAGAAATATTTGGTTGCCATCGGGCAGCCTATTCATGGCCCCTTCCCAACCCTAGGAAGTCACTCTCCTTCTCCAACTCCCCCAGTCACTAGTCTGGTCATGTTACATATCTTCCTCTGCTCCACACACCTTCTGCTTGGCCTCCTCAGCCATGCGTTTACAGGCCCGGCGCAAGATGCAAGACTGATTGCCCTTGGGGGCCAGTCGATGAGCCTGTTCCTCCTTTAAGACCTGAAGTTCTGGGGGTAGGCGACTGGTGAATGGGGTGCCCAAATCTGGGCCTGCTGGCTCAGTTATTACTGTAGGGAAGGAAGGGAGAAGACATAGCCACCATGTCCACTTGGCAAGGGACAACTTCAATGTCTCCAGGCTTCTGTGGAAAAAGATCCTTTTGACAAAATGACAAAGAGAGAATGGGGTTGCTAGGAAAATAGCAAAGGGGGGTAGACTGAGGAAAGTACTGGGAAGTGAAAGAGCCCTAGGAACCCTGATGACTCACTGGTGACACGACCAGCAATAAAGGGGTGATGTAAGAGGTCTGGCCAGGACAGACGCTGCCGGGGGTCTTTGGTGAGCAGTCCCTGCAGGAAGTTCTGTGGAGAGAAAAAAATGCACCATCAGCCCTTCTTTCACTTCCTTTGAGGCTCTCTACCTTATCAGCAGAACTGGCAAAATAAGACTCCCACATCCATTCTCACAGCAGACTAGCTGCTCTTGATCACTCCCTCTATAACCCTTGTCTTAGGCCCCATTTTCCTGGGTGAAATCATGGACAGACCACTGCCTCACCTCGTAGGGAGTCCCAATCCCTGTTGATGGACATTCTGTATCCCCAGAAATAAAAACAGAGATCTCAATGTCACCAACTTTGTGAAGGAGAAAAAACTGGGAGAAAAAGGGGATGTCACCTTCACAATCATCTTCAGAAAGCAAACATTCAAAAGAGTTCCAAACTGCTCACTTTGCCTTCCCTTCCTTTTTAAAAATTTTAGATGGGATCTTGCTACATCATTGCTCAGACTGGTCTCGAACTCCTGGGCTCAAGTGATCCTCCCATTTCAGCCTCCCAGGTAGCTGGGACTACAGGTGCACACTACCATGTCCAGCCTGCCCTCCTTTTGATTATGGTTTATTTGTGGCTGTGTAGGAACAGATGCATTTATGGTTAAAAACACACTCACACGTACAATTAACTGTGTAAAGATGTGTTTGGGAGCAGTCAAAAACAAATCTTTCGGCAAATCTTCAGAGGTGGAGGGGTAGGGAGACTTTTTCTGAAAAGGGTACATCTATTATCAGGTGTCCTTGGAAAATCCTCAATTGGGCCTGAAACAATAATAGAAGGTACTAATTGATTATGACCACTGTTCTACAGTTAAACAGACCACCACTTATACAAGGGGATCTGTATAACTATGGCTCTTGCTGAAGATACCTGCATATCTGTCCTAAGGGAAAATGAATATCCTACAGACACCTCCCCCAATTGAGTTTCCTTTGTTAGATTCTTTTTGATGATTATTTGGGCCTCCCCAACTAACTAGGTTGGGTAGAAACTTGTCCCTTTTCATCTTAGATAAAGCAAAGGAAAGTTGTAATGAGACTTTATTCTGGGAGAGGATGACATTTGAATTCCATTGACAGCCCATAATCTTGACCTAGATAAGAAATAAAAAGGGTCCTACTCCTCTCTGTCCTGTATTCCCTCCTTAAGCCTGCTGAGACTTAGCTATAGTGAGCAACCACCACCTCTACCATCTTCCCCTAATCACCGAGTCAGTCCCACCAGCTCTGGCCATGCTGATGGCTGAAAAGGACTGAAAGCTGTGTGGGCAATATCTGTGTGGACATTGCATCTGATAGGAAATAAAGAGAATAGAGGGTATGTAAAAGGACCTGGCACTTAGCACTTAGCAAGGCACCAGATCTGCCTCCAATGTCTTGAATTTACCTTGTGATAAAGCATAGCCTGGCTACAAAGGCTACCATTCCCAAATTTGGCAGACCCCAGAACACCTTCCCAGAATAAGCCACTGCAGTAGAAAAACAAGACTGCTTGGCCCAGCTCCTGCATTTATTCAGTAACTGCAAAGTCCTGTCCAGCTCTGGAAAAGGATTTTGGGAAAGGGAACAGAGGTAGCGGGAGATAGGTTTCCAATGTAAAGTAATCTCCTTTTCAGTATTCATTACCTTAAAGCAGGGACTGATGGTGGAAGGCCAGCGCACAGGGTCTTTGAGAATAAGGCTAACCAGCTGAAAGATGCTCGTGGTATAGAAGGGAGGGGTGCCTACAGCCAGCTCATACAGTATGCAGCCCACAGACCAGAGGTCTGCTGTGTGGTCGTATGGCCGCTCCTCCACCAGCTCTGGAGACATATAGAGTGGTGTGCCTTTGATAGATGTCAGCACCATCGTGTTGGTGCTCATAGCCCGGGCAAATCTGCAGAAGATGATGGGAAATGGAAAGGGAAAAGATATTCTACATCTGGTCACTACTACCTATCACAGTATGAGATATCCCAAACTGGAACAGAGTGAGCACCTTTAATTAAGTTCCAAAAGACTCAGCAGGAGACCCAGTCTCCATCTCAGGTTTTAAAATGAGATCCAAGTAGGCCAAACATATGGTCTAAGACTCTGCAAAACTGGAAGCACAGATGGAAGCTCAGAATCCTTACCCAAAGTCACAGAGCTTGATGCCACCACCCTTGGCAAGGAGAATGTTCTGGGGCTTCATGTCTCGGTGCAGGATGCGGTGGGAATGCAGATAGTACAGGGCTGATACCAACTGGGCAGCAATGGCCTGAACCTAAGAGTCAAACAAGCAGGAGAAACAAAGAAAAGGTCCAAAAAAGGAGCTGGCTGACAAGCCCAAATATTTCTCTTAATATCATTGCTGTGTGATCTTTTCTTCCTTCCCTTTCTTCCAGAGCTTCACACTACAACTTCCTTAGTTCTTGCTCACCTTAATTCATTCTTTTATTTGTTCATTCAATCATTCATTCAAGGAAAATTTGTTGAATCTCACTTACTAGCTGCATGACCACGAGCAATCTATTTTGTGCTTTTCAAATTCATCTATGAGGTGACAACATATTTAATGATACCACCTGTCTTGTAGGATTATTATGAGGATTACATGAGTTTAAGTATGTAAAGTGATGCTCAGAATGGTGCCTGGCACTTAGCAAACATTCAATATACATTACTTAATTAAATTACTTGATTAAATAAAACAAAGTCACTTTCCTTAAGAGTAGTCAAACAAGACAGATAAAATGAATAAGATGATTACTTACAACTAGTGATGAGTGCTCAGAAGGAAATGGAGTGATGTAATAAGGAACTCTGAGGGGGCCTACTTGCTAGGGTACAGAGAAACCCCTAGAATAAATGTGGGTGGAGAATGTGTTCAACCAAATCCCACTGCTAATCACTATGTCCTGGTGGCAAATTCTGCCTGACCACAACCTTTATCCTTACTGCCTTTATGGTAGTACCACACTGGCCCTTCTTCCCTAAAGGTACCTAATAACAACAACATTAATAATAGCTAACTATTTAAACAATGTACATGAACTAACTCATTAATCTACACAATAGCCTTATGAGGCAGACTTTATCAATTCCATTTTACAAACGAGGAAACCAAGTGCAAAGAGATTAAAGTAACTTGTCTAAGGGGACCCAGGTAGTAAGGAGCAGAGACAAACTTCCTACTCAGATATTTTGGCTCCAGTGTTCACATACTTTACTCTCACCACACTGTCTCTGTACATACTTAGATTCTTATATTCTTCTCAGGAATCTTTAAAATGTAGACTTTCAGTGCCCTTAGCTTGCCCTACCAGTCCTTAAACCGGAGAGAGGTAAGGGATGGGGAGAAGTTTAAGGCAGGAAGCATACCTGGTCTTCGGGAAGTTTTCCGTCATCTTCCAGGATCTGGAAGAGCTCTCCCTCAGCATAGTCTGTCACCACCACCACCTGCAGGGAGAAGGAAGTGGCACCAATGGCTTCAGATTCATGCCTTCTGAGATTGGGAAGTTCTTCGGACCCTTCTGCTCAGGGAGAGGTGACCCAAGACCATCAAAGCATACCTCTTTGTCAGTCTCAAAGCTGTCAAGCATATGCACAATGTTGGGATGCCGCAGACCCCGCATGATTTCAATCTCTCGTTGCAGATTCTTCAGTTCCTTCTCTGAGCGCCCCAATTTTGGGATGAACTTCAGGGCCACGACCTGTCAGTGATGAGGAGAAGACTTAGTGCCTAACTACACTATTAAAAAGAGATATAATTTCAACTTTAACCTCAGAGCTCCAGAACTAAGATTTTAGACTGTTTGAGTAACTTTTATCATTTCTGTTAGTCTTCCACCTCCACTTTCCCTATGATACCCTGCCCTTAACAAGGCTTCCTCCACCCCTCACCCCAGAGGAAACAGCCTCTGCCAAACAGATCTCTTTGGTGGAATCTAGGAGAGGTACTCTCATCTGGCCAAGATAAGATTTAAGGGAAGGGAAGGAAGAAAAAAATGAAGAGGGAAGAATAATTTCAGGTGGTTTACCTCTTCCTGCATGGTATGCTAGAGACTAATATATTTATGTTATTCATTAGGTGCCAGGCACTGTACTAAGTGATTTAGTGTGTCATCATATTTAATCCTCAAACCCCATCAATCACATACTGTTTTTGTCCCCATTCTTTAGACAAGGAATTTGAGACACAGGGAGGTTAAGTAACTTTTCCATAATTCCTTTTTTTTTTTTTTTTTTTTGAGACAGAGTCTCACTCTGTTGTCTGCACTAGAGTGCCTTGGTGTCAGCCTAGCTCACAGCAACCTCAAACTCCTGGGCTCAAGTGATCCTTCTGCCTCAGCCTCCGGAATAGCTGGGACTACAGGCACGCGCCACCATGCCTGGCTAATTTTTTTTACATATTTTTAGTTGGTCAATTCATTTCTATTTTTAGTAGAGATGGGGGTCTTGCTCTTGCTCAGGCTGGTCTCGAACTCCTGACCTTGAACAATACGCCTGCCTCAGCCTCCCAGAATGCTGGGATTACAGGCGTGAGCCACCGTGTCCAGCCTCCGTAATTCTTTTTTTTTTTTAATTGTTAATGTTATTTATTTTTTTAGAGAGAGGGTTTCACTCTGTCACCCAGGCTGGAGTGCAGTTGCATGATCATAGCTCACTATGTAATGGCTCCATAAGCAAGAAAACATTTTTAATAGGGTTTTTTGTTGTTGTTGTTATAGTTCTCTTACGCTTCAAGTTCCCAGATCAGTAAGATTTGCTGACCAAAAATCTGTAACTTTCCGTTGCACTAATGCATTCTCTTCTGAGTTTCTTTCCCAGAAACAGCAGGGCCTCCTTGGGCCTCCACCACAAAATAACTACAAAGCCTTCCACCTGTCTGACTGGAGAAGACAACATAAGTGACATCCTATAACAGATTGTGCCTAAGGACCTGCTGAGCAACCTACTCCCCACATCCTGCCTGTATACGAGGCTGAAAGAATGACCAATATTAAACTCTAGCTCATTATACTACTAAAATCCCCACCCTGGGAGGGGGACCTATCCACCATTTTTGATCATGGGATGTATGTAATAGCATGATTTTTCACTGCACTTGTGTGCCCTGCACTCCGCCCCAAACATGTAATGATGTTACTCCCCTCATACATTATTCATTTCACCTCCAGAAAAAACCCTGGCCCTGTTAGTGGTAGAGATGGATTTAAGGCAGTCTATACTTCCCACCTCCCACTTAACATGTTTCCAACAATAAATCCTTTCTTCTTTGACAATCCTCATTGTCTCAGTAATTGGCTTTCTTCGCGGTGAGCAACAGTGAATCCCCCTTTTGGGTTGGTTAACAACTACAGCCTTGAACTCCTGGACTCAAGTGATACTCATGCTTCAGCCTCCTGAGCAGCTGGCACTACAGGTGTGTTCTACCACACCTGGCTAATTAAAAAAACTTTTTTTAGGGATAGGGTCTTGCTATATTGGCCAGGCTGGCCTTGAACTCCTGGCCTCAAGTGATCCTCCCACCTTGGCCTCCCAAAGTGCTGAGATTACAGGCACCACACCCAGCCAACTTGTCCATAATTCTAAGGCTCAAAAGTGGTGGAGCTGGAATTTGGACCTGAGTAATCCAACTTCAGAACTCATACTCCATAAGAAGTATGAAAAAGTCAGTGCCTTAGTAATACAAGTTGGTATAAACACATCCCTTTTAGGCCCATTTTCCACTGGAGTAGGGCGTACCAGATCTTACCCAAAAGATATCCCACCTGAGCACTGTATTTTCTTCGACCCTTGTACACCCTCCCAAAAGAGCCTTCTCCAATCATCTCCAACACGTGGTACTTTTCCATTTCAGAGGTTTCAGGATCTCCCAGACGGAAGAAGGTAGAGATGGTAGTGAAGAGCTATAGATCTAGGGACAGTTCCACACATCTGGGAGGCCTGATTTGGGTACAGGAGACAGTAAACATTAGCGGTCTTGCCTTTTCCTTTTCCACAACAATCATGAAACCAGGCCCCAGAAACACGGTAGGGTGGAATGGATGGAAATACGATGAGATCTTGAACAAACATAGCACCTCCTTGGGGTTTCTCCCCGTTCTTCAGTCCCCTCCTGTCCCCCAATCCAGCCCCAGCCGACCTGACACGAAGTTCCCCTTCCCACTCCACTCAGCCTCCCCCAAGTTCCTGCCACTCCCAACCCCCTCAGCACCTACTCCCGGAACCCTGTCCTGTGCTTTGCTAGCCAGGGCCCCCTCTCACCCCCAGCCTAGAAGTTCCAAGCTCCTCCGGGCAGAGGGACGCCGGCCCTGGCCTTCAGGGCCCCATCCCTTCTGGCTGCCTGCGTACTTTGCCTGACTTATACTTTTTCTCCAGCCCCCACTGCTGGTCTCTTTAGGCTCCCATTCTTACCAATTTTACTCGTTAGAACTGGTCAGAAGTCCAGAGGACAAAGGAGCTCAGAGATGTGAAAGGGACGGTGGACAGCCCATGGGCACTTCCTGGGGCACTTACGAACTGTCTGTTGACCATCAGGCCCCACTAAAGGACTGGAGTCTGCGGTTGCCTAGAAACGGCGCAAGCCGCCTTCACTCAGTTTTCCGCCTCCGACTTCCCCAAGGGCATTTCCGGTTCCGGCTGCGGGCCGGAGAAGATATGGCGGCGTCTGCGTCGGCAGCAGCAGGGGAGGAGGACTGGTAACTTTGGGGATATGGGCTTTGGCTGACCGCCTGGATCTGGTCCGGGAGCCTAGCGGCGGCCACAAACAATCCTTCCGGCGGACGTATGGGGTGGAGCGAGGGGTGAGGGATGGCAGAGATGCTGACATCCCTAGGAGAGCTTCTGGATTGGGAAACGGGAGGGCGGAGGGGCACGGATCTGAGTGAGAGAAGACCCAGTCTGCGCGGGCCAGGCCAGTTCGGGCCGCGCGCCTTAACCCGGTTCGGTTTCCTCTCCTCCAGCCCCACACCATCCCATTCTCTCCTGAAGTGAATTTTCTCAGGGGCTAGGAGGATGCCTACTCATGAGACTTCCTCACCTCCCTTTCACCTCCCAGAACCGATGTCCTCCAGCTCCTGTGTCCCCTTCCCCTTCCCCTTGGATCAGCCTTTTTCTGCTTACGCTTTCCTCAACCTTCTCTCTCCCGGCAGCACTAATGAGGATTATTGTCTGATAAGCCTTACACCTCACAAAAAGCCCTCCTAGTCCTTCTTTCAAGCATCCTTAACAAGATACCAGAACCTGGAAGGACTCTGGGGTTTGGAAGTAGCATAAATGTGGGTGCACTCCCCATTTTATTGGCTGTGTGATGCTGATTAGGCCACCTAGCTTCTGTCAGTGTCCTCAGCTGTAGAGAAGTGGGTGTGGCGTATACCTCATAGAATAGTTGAAAGGATCAGAATAGATTGTAACAAACATAAGCCTCTTTTTTATTAATAACTGAGGTATGGGCACCTGAGGAGACTAGATGATCACAAAGAAGTAAAATGATTTGCCAAAAGGAACAAAGTTACGACTAGGAATCCAGGTCTGTGTAACCCCAAATCTTATATTCTTAGTACTAGGACATTCCACAATGCCCCCCCTTTTGTCACTACCTTACCACCATCCCATCTTGTACCTCACATCCAGGACCCACACAGCTAGGGTGAATGAAGTATTGAAAGGCCATTGACTGAGACTGCACCTCAGTGTTACGTTGTTTCAGAGAGCCCAGTTAGTGCTGGCTTTTATTAAGACCATCTAGACTAGTAGTTTTCAAACTGTTCAGGTGAACTTTTAAGATTCAGAGGAGACACTTTGAGCCATGGAGAGGGCAGCAATGAGTGTAGGAACTAGCCTGTGGTGCTCTGAGACTTCCACTCCTATATCAACCAGAATTTTTCCAGTGTTATCTGTGAGGTGTAAAGCTGTATTTTTTTATATTTTGAGGTTTCTGCCTAAGACTTAAAAAAATAAAAGTAAAAAAAAAAACACTGATAAAGGTCATGCTGGGTCAGCCCTGCTCTTGGTGAAGAAGGAATAATGTAACTATAAGAAAGCAAAGCATGCGTTTTTCCATGTATCACCTAGGTAGAGCTGTGAACTCAACTAGTGACTCGTTTTCAGTGTCATCCCACCTGCTATTTCTATGCTTAAACATGTGTGTCCTCTGATTTACAATAGGACCATGAATCCTAATGTGGACTGGCTGATCTAGCTCAACTAGATGGCCAAAGTCATAAATACATCCAGAGTACTCTACTATCTCTTTCCCTTTTTTCTTTTATGGGAGAAGGTGATATACACAATAGGAAAAAAAGAGGACATACACTAACTATTATGGTCCAGATACTATTAAGTACTTTATACAAACTAATGACCTTTAATCTTCACATTAATCCTAGAGAGGAGGTGGTATTAACTATATGTGGTAGACAGGGTAACTCAGGCTTACAGATATAACTACCCAGATCACATACCTGGTAAGTGATTGGTACCTTGATACCCCAAGGCTGATGGCTCTTCTATTACAGCACAGCCTTTATACCATCAAGACCTGTTGTGTTGAGGTTGATACTTCCTTTGAGAAGGCTTGGGGTGACTGGTGCTAGACAGTAGCCAGGGCATGTGGATTCACACTGAACACTGATGTAGGGAAAGGCAGGAGTAATATTGGTAACCGTGATGCTAATGAATGGATTCTGTATTTCTGGATCAGAGATGGCCACTAAGGAATAAACAATAGTGGAATGAAACTTAAGGAGTCAGGAAACCTGGCTCTGGTCCCAGTTCTGTCTATGTTACATAGCCTTGGCTAGTCATTTCGCCTCTCTGAGAATCCACTTCTTTATTTGCAGAAATGATCACTAAAATTCTGATTTCTATGCTTCCTACCTGACCACTTGACAACCTAAGGAAATATTTCCCTCATTGTTAAGGAGTTTAATAAATACATTCAGGCAGATTGCCACTTTTCTAAAAAGCCACCCTTTATCAACCTTAGCAGGCTTCAGCTGGGAAAGCTGTAACAAGTGAGTCTGTCTATCCCTGTCTCTCTAGGGTCCTCCCCTCTGAAGTCGAAGTATTAGAGTCTATCTATCTGGATGAACTACAGGTGATTAAAGGAAATGGCAGGTATGTATTCAACTAGGGGAGGGCAGGAGCCCCCTAGTAATGAGGAGAGGGTTCTATGTGGAGTCTGGTCTTAAGACTTCGTGAGCCTTGACTGAGAGGTTTTTCTTATGTAGACAAAGGCTATTCCTTTAATCTTTCCAAAAGAAAGAGCCCAATGCTCACTTCCTCTGCCCACTTTACTGTCTCACCCCCATTCTCCCCAGCCCTCAAGCCCCTGCCCAGTCACATCCTGGGTCTCCACTTTATCCACTTGCAGGTCTTCACCATGGGAGATCTACATAACTTTGCACCCTGCCACTGCAGAGGACCAGGATTCACAGTATGTCTGCTTTACTCTGGTGCTTCAGGTCCCAGCAGAGGTGAGGCCCCTACTCTGTGGCAGCAAAGGGAGGAAGGGGAGAGTCCCAGGGGTGGATTGCTTTAGCAGTAACTTATTATTTCCCCCCATTAGTATCCCCATGAGGTGCCACAAATCTCTATCCGTAATCCCCGAGGACTCTCAGATGAACAGATCCACACGTAAGTTGGGCTGGTCAGAGCAGGGGAAACTCAGGATATACCTCTGCCTGGTGAGGGAAGGGGGCAGGCCTAATACTTGGTTTGCCTTCTTCCTCCAGGATCTCACAGGCGCTGGGCCACGTGGCCAAGGCTGGGTTGGGCACTGCCATGCTCTATGAACTCATTGAGGTAAGAGGTGCTAGCCTGGAAAAATGTCCTTTCTTTCAAGCTAGAGCAGTTTCGCTCAAAGGAAACCATGGGCCTAAAATCTTAAATGCATATAGAGTCATTATGTGAGGCCTAAATTAGTCCAGAAAGATGAGAATCTTTTATTTAAAAAATTTCCCAAAAGACACTACTATGGTTTCCCCAAATTGCCTGTTCCGGCATCCTGACAGAAAATTACTTTTCCTCTTCAACTTGCATATTTCTTGATTCATTTTCAGTGCATTTCTTATTATTCTCTTGGCACTGACAACTAAATGTTGTGAAAGATACAAATCTTTTCTGGGGTGGGGTTGGGGAGGTCTTAGCCATACGTGAACATTTGAAGGCTAGCCTGCCACTGGAGCAGACTAGAAAAAGTCATGGTTCCTTTATTCAAAGACTTTATACCCTGGTAAGGAAATAAGCCACATGAAGCAACCCCTACAGCTACAAGTAAATATACATAGATAACTTGTCTGAGATTTAAAACATACAATTAAGTACAGTCTTATTTTCCTTTAATTTTTTTTTTTTTTTTTTTTTTTTT